CACAATTTTTAAAAATTACATATTAATATAATTAAGATTTTCAATAAAAAGCTATAAAAAAAGTTACATGAGTTTTTGATCCCAACCTTGAACCCTATCAGTGAGAACTAGACTTAAAAAAATGATCAATTTAAGATTTCTAGACTAAGAGTCTACTTAAAAACCTTATTTTTCACATTTAAAAAAATAAGATTTTACTTTTAAATACCGAAAATTGTTTAGATAAAATATTTTATAAGAAAATACATCCTAAAAATATATTTAAATAATGACTGAAGATGAACATAAAGAATATAACTATTTGAAGTTTTTAAAATGTGCATTTAGTATTATTCAATATTTTGGTGCTTCTTTTTCTCTCTTTGCCATTCCTTTGCTTTCTTATCTGTTTTCACTGTCTCTGAGAAATGGCTCACGCCAATATTGCGATAATGCTCAATGACTGATGATATTCCACTTGTAAAATATTGGCTCCAACTTCTTCTCAAAACTCTTATCATCAAACATGACTAATTAAATCCACCAAAATATTCTAATCCTTCTACCCGTCGCTTCCATAGATATTCAATTTTTAATAATTTAATCAACATTAACAAAAATTTAAATTTCGTAGGTAAACCACTAAAATATCTCCAAATATTAATATTTGTATTCTTTTTTATGACAATATTTGTATTCTAAATAACATGATATATTGATTTATAGGATATCTCCAAATTTTTTTAATCTTTTATATTTGTGTACCAAATTTGATATCCGTCTTGAGGGAAAAAATTAATCTGATCTAATGGATATGTGATATCACACCAAGATAAAGTGAAAAAAAGATCCATAAAGCATTTAATTTTTAATATTAATGTATATTTAAATATTTATATAATTTTTGCCCAATATATTAAACTTTATAATTTTGTATTGTTATTATTAACATATAAAATTTTATGTTATTTAAAATTTGTATCACACATATTTTTTAAATATTTTTAATATGAAGCATTTGTATAAAAAAATATAAATTATAAAATTTAATTTTTTAGTAATTGTACATTTAAAAACACATTTCATAATATATAATTTGAATAATTTTTAGTTTACCAAACTAACTTTTAAAAAAATATAGTCAAACATAAATTTTATTGCAATAATTAATTTTTACTAAATTAATTCTTATCAAATAAACTTTTAACAAATTAATTTTTAACGAACAAAAAATTAAACATGTACTAGTAAACCTAAACTCTTAAAAGTTGGGTTAGTCCTTATTAAAAATTTTAAGGGTGGATTCAATCCCTCATGAGCTAGTCTAGCCTCCTTCAAACTTAAAAAAAGAAAAAAGAATAAAAGTATATTTTTGCTTTTAAATTATTCTTTGAGAAGCATCCAGAATCTTAAATTATTTGTTAGAGCAATTTTAATTTTTTTATTAAATTTTCTAACGGTTAATGTTAGAATCCTAGGCAATATTTTTAGCAGTCAACGTTGAAAATTGACGACAAGAGTGAAAATATTTTTTTAATTATTTTAAGGTTAAAATTGCTTCAACAAATAGCTTAGGGTATTAGATGCTCTTCAAATAATATTTAAGACATAAAAATACACTTTTATCCAAAAAAATCAAATGCTTAATATCCAAAAAATCCAAATATTTACAGTAATGTTATATTTTATCGAGCATTTTTTTTACCAGCATTTTATCGAGCATTATCGATCCCTGAAAAAAAAAAATATATCTCAAGCAATATTTAGTAATGTTATTGTATGGTGCGCATCATATTCTTTTAACCAATGCACTAGTTTACGTGTGATGCACGGGTGGTATTGATAATTGACAAAACATCCACACAGGAATCCAGTCCTCATCTGTCACACGCGAATGTATTCGCTTGCATATTTATCGTTATTGTGCTGGATGAAATGTATATTGAATAAACTTGATTTGTTTTACTCTAACACGGTAAAATTAATTGGCATTATATATGTCTAGTGAAGATGAAAGTTTGCGTGAGAAGATTAGCTGTCGTTGGTTGTAGATTTTTATTGTCTCTTGATTAGGTCTCACAAGCAATATGCCCTTTTTCTTTATGCGAGAATGGAGTAATATTTTGAGGATGCAGATTGCTTATTTTGTTTTTCCAGGATACCCCAAACCAGCAGCTATAAATCAAACTCTAGAATAATATTCAAGGAGGTCAGATTACTACCATAAGTACATATTTACAGATTTTTTTTTTTTTTTTGTGAATGCCGAATGTTTTTTAAGCATGGCCTTGGAAGTTGGAACCAGATATTTACAATGCATTGCGTACCAGCCCTTTTTCTTGGCGAGGGCCTTTTAATGGAAGTGACTTTTTCTCCATTTAGTTTTCTTTCTGCCTCATTTGCACGAAACATCTCAATTCTGTATTTTAAAAAAAATTATATTTAGGTCTCACATAAAAAATTATAAATAATCATTGTCCAATTGTCAATATCTTTAGTCAAGTTATAAATGTACATAATTTGAGATTTGAAAATATTTCATGAATTTTTTAAAACTTTTTAATAATATATTTTTTTTGTGGGACCTAAATATAATTTTTCCTCCCTTTTAAATTAAAAACTTCTGTACGGAATAACTTGTGATGGATCTTGTAAATAAATTAATAAAATAAGGAATTTTTTGATCCCCACCGAAAGAAGCGTTCAATTCATTGGGAAAAAATCCGACGACTTTTTATTAGCGAAAATAAACATTAGATTTCAAACAAATTGAAAATGATCGGATTCTCGTCCACAGCAACCGCATTTGTTATGCATACCCCACACACCCACCCACCACGGAAGAATCATAAAAACATAATGATATCGTGATTTATATGAGATTTTGACCAGATTGATCAAGTACTTCATGCGAGAATTTATTAACAGGTAGACGATTCTTATTATAAATTATTTGATAGAATATTAACTGATTTCTTTTTCAAATTTACTCATGTTTAAAACTTTTGACTGCAGGAGAAAATATAATGTAAATATCAAAATTATTTATTTAAACATAAGTAAAATTAAAATTGTATTTCACTTAACTTAACCATATTTTATTAATTCCGGTGAAATTATTAAACATGTCTCGGAATGGACGAGATACAACTACGTTTCTATAAGTTTATGGTCATACCACCAATATCACATGACATTTTATTGCAACAAATTAAACACCCCAATTGATACAAAATTGTCATGACAAAGTCTACTCGCCGTTCGCTGACAAAGAAAGCAAGCGTTGTCTGTGACTTTTGGGGATTCATTCCCTCTGATCTAAAGGTTTGCCCCCCCTGCTGTTTGCGTGTTTATTTTGGGCAAATAGCCAAGTACTGATAAACAAATACTTGATAAATGCAGAGACACGCATGAACAGAGCTTGATGAAGCTGGTTGGAGTTAGGCCTATTCCAAAAGAAAAGCAAGCTTAATTATTTTTTATCTTTACTTCTACTTTATTTATTACATTTTTTAAAAAAATAATACATTTAAATTTTAATTATTATTATTGTAAAATTAAAAAAAATATAATTTTTTTAAAAAAATTTAAATTTCAACTAATATTTTTTAAACTGTGAATTAATTATTAATGACCTCTATTTTAATTAAGAGGCAGTAATTAATACGGACAATATCGGTTGCCGGTAAGCTTGGCGAGTCCGGCTAGTTTCTCCTCCTCGTGTTTCTTATTTATTCGGACACCCGCTTTATTACAACATCATCTCCTTCCTTGATCGAACCTCCTGTCTACCTTCTTTCTCTTATTCAACACTTCCTCTCTCCCTCCTCCGCCCCCATCTACCGCCTCCAACATCGTTATTCTACAAGCATCGCCGTCTAACAGGTTTCTAAGGCACGTTTGCCTGCTCGATCACTTTTAATTTTTCTATATGCTCAATAGTATGTTGTAATTTGGACAATCGTACCGTTCTCTTTGTTAATTGTTGCTCTGCGTACCCGTTATATTTCTGTCGATCAGTTTCGGATTTTCATCCCTGATCCTCTTGTTGATTGCTTCTGATGTATCACCTTCAGCTTTAAACAATCTTAGCAGCCTTCTATCGTTTGTTTGGTGGAAGGAGAGAAGGTTGTTCTAGGTGCTTCTTACCCGTGCTTTTTCTTTGATAATTTACGGGTTCCTTTCTTTGCGGTTCATTTAATCTTCTCCTCAGAAATTTGGACTGCTTGGCGGTTTTAGAACTTGAGCTTCTGTTTTTTTTTTTTTAACACATTTTCACGTCCTTCAGCTCCCAGATTATACATACTTAAAATCTCTGGTGAGAATGGTAGTTATCACTTGTCAGTTGTCATTATGTTGTGTGTTTCATATTAGCATTGCCATGTTCCTCCTTTAAGATCAGAAAACCAAGTTTATATCCGGGCCAGATGAGGCGTATATCATGTTTTTTATTTTTAGCGCAATTGTCCAAGTAAATCAGGAGTCAGGATACATAATATGCTTTCAGTTATAATTGTCAGTATCCTTACTTTTTTTCCCCTTGTGGGTTGGTTCTCCCATGGCTTCTCATAAAAGTAACTTAGACTAATTGGAAGATTGAGCGTGCATTAGTTATTTAGGGCTTAGTTTATGATCTATTGAATCACCTTTTCATGCTAGTTATCTTGACTCTATAGGTTTTAGTGCTTGGTGGAAATGTCACAGAATGCATCCTCACTTGACTTTTCATGGTTGAATGATAAATGAGTATTCAACTACTGAATAAATGATTGTCTTATTGATCACTGAGCTACAACTGACTTAATTTAGGATTTCGTTCTCCCTTCATCTTCCTTTATGGAGAGCGTGTATTGTTTATATGTCAATGCATAAGTATCTTATTAACTGGCTTTTATGCGGTCAAAATGCTAAATGTTCATCAAGGATTATTATTATTCATATCAGAGGCTTTCCCCGGTTATCCTTAGATTTCCTTGGATTCAGTTAGGTTTAGATGGTTTGTTATTATGCAGGTTTCTTGATGCTGATGGTATACCATACAGACCTTGTGCTTTCATGTTGAGTTTGGGCTCTAGATGAAACCTAATACATCTGCGTGTGCTGGTGAGATGTGTTTTCATTGGATAGCATCCTTTGGTTTCTCTCTTATTTTGATTCCCCACTCTTCTAGAGCAATGTACTCTTCAAGTATTCATGAATCTCTTTGAAAGGTTTCATATGGTCCCCTGTACCTTTAGGTCTGTACGCAACTGAAAAGCTGATCACTATTACTAGTGAAAACTGGTTTTCCCTTGGCATTTGCCTTGTACAGGTCCTGGAAGCGGGTTAAGTTCTTCACTTGGTCTCTTCTGTTGCATTATCTGAATTGCAGATTGTATTGCTAGAACATTTGGTTGGTGGGGTGGTTTTAGAACTGATGGGTTTGGCATGTTCTGTTTTGTCAGGATTTATTAGCATGATATATGCAGCTATAATGGAATATTATAAGCCAACTTTGATGTAGGAAGAAGAAAGTATACAGTATCAAAGATTCTCTGTAAACTGAAGAATTGTTTAGGCACTGCTCAACTGGAATATGGCCTTTAGACCAGGGATAACCATCTCCTAAGATTGGATACTCATTTCACGTGAATGGCCTAGCAATAATGCTGAGGATTTCGTGGCATTAGAGCTGTCTCGTTCTGATGCTTAGTGATGCAAGATTTTGGTATGGAGTAACTGGCAATCTAGGGACAGTCATGGAACTTTATGGACACCATGCTCCTAGATCTAATTGATGTCCTGAGGTGATGGAATATGGATATTGGTAAACCTTATTACTATTTTCCTTGCGCCTTGTAAAAGCATTAGCTAAATCCTTTTATCATTTTTTTTTTTAAATCTGATATCTATGATAGCTAATATGGAGGCGGTGCTCTTTAGAGGGGTGATACAGTGGGAGTAGCAGTACAATCTTCATAGAGTTATTAATTCACTATAGTATGCAGACTGCAATTGGGATCATTAGTACATGCCATTGATGAAGACTTTGGTCCATACTCCCTCAATTTGATGTTACTTGACCTTTCATGCTGGTGGGGTTTCATATTCTGCTAAAAGCTAGTTCCTCTGAAAAATGCAAGGATTCATGGCTGGGTGATGCTTTATTTCCACTTGAGTTTGGGGTTTGTTGACTTTGAAGCTGTTTGATAAGAATTAGTTGGATATATATTCACTTATGATCCTTAATCTTGAGGAATGAAGGGATACCGGCAACAAGATGTTGATAGTGTATCCAAATGTTCGACACCTATTTTCTTTTACCTAGTCTATGGCAGATGGAAAAAAGTTTTTCTTTCATTTTCGGGCTTATACATCCTAATGGCACTCTTGGCTTAAACAACTGATGTCTGATTGACTTCTTTTTTAAGTCACCTTCCTTTCTCACTAATATCTCTGTGGTTTGTGACTAACTAGATTTATAGAAATGGTTTTTTGTTAAAATTACGTTATGATACAAAGCCTGGTGGATATGGTCAGACTACTATGTTCTAGGCCTCTCTGTCATCATTATTTTTATATTAGACCCATATGCTGTATCAAACTGAACAGTGTTATGAATGTCTCTGATAGTTCTTAATAAGATAAACAAAGGTATACTTTTTAGATGTAATCATCGTGTTCAATATGTTGTGCCTTGGAAAACTTGACATTGAAATTGTACATTTTATTACTGTTTATGCTCATATTCATGCGCTTGTCTGTCTTGCTCATCATATGTTATTTTGTAAGGTTTTATCATTTAATAACTGAAGCTCAGAAATCTTTAGTTCAAAGTTGCAGGATATAGTTAAATAGAAGCTGAAGCGAAGCTATATTTCTTCCATGATGCTTTGCATGGATATTATTATTTCATTTATGAGTACACTAAGGATGATAAGTTGGAATTAAATGATCAATGCAAACCATACTTTCTTCTGAGAACTTGATTTGACAGGCCTTAATATTATAAAGCAATTATTTTTCTGAAGCTTACTCCTCTGCTTGATTCTATATTCTCACATATTTTTGCCAGTATTTTAGCATACTGTTGTGGCACTGTAGTCTTTTCTTGTATTATTTCCTTAATTTTATAGAGAAAAAATTGTCAATCTCATAGACGTGTTATAGTTTGTTGAATGTGAATTTTGATTGTAGTCTGATGCTGGCAATGTCTCGAGCAACGTGATATATGAATGATAGGAGACACGTCCTTGACCTTAACTAATATTATCATGTCTCATGCAACTTTACAGATAAGACTTAGCCAAATTCTAAGGAAAGAATTTTTCACAAAATGTATTCTTGATTAGGGGAAATTAATCATACAAGTGGCTAATTAAGTTAATATATAATTAACACATTAACCACCCTTTGAGCATTTTAAAATACTTAATGTTTTGTAACCTACTTTCACTACAAAGCCCATATTTGGAACTCTCTTTAATATTTTGTATTTGTAAGAGTTTCCATGTTTCAACTTCCAATCTATTTCTTCCTTTCATTTAATGATTTAAAATAATTAGATTTCTCATTTGGTTTTAAATTTTTGCAATTTGAATATGTGATCTTTGAATCTTTTTTTTTTAACTGGTATGCTTTCCTGGACTCTTCTTTAACTTTGATTAAAGTTTTCAAGCTTCTTTTAAATTGCTTATCATAATATATTTGGGATGGGTGTAATCTCTCTATTTTGGCATTCTCCAGTTTTATTTTGATTTTCTTGATTTATGGAAATCTTTACCTCTCTGTCAGCAAAGCATTTCATTCTGGTAGCAATTACTTTCTAGCGTCAACACTTTTTTGGACCTTTTGCTTGTTACAAGGTAGACAACTTAACTTGGTGTATGGTTTTACCAATATAATTTCCCTTCAGATGCTGCTAAGGTTAACTGCAAATATTTTTAAAAGCCCTTCATATTTCTGTTTCCTGCAAAGTTCTCGTAAATATATATTGTAAAAATTGTAGTGCAGATATTTTGTACAAAGGAAAAAGTGTGTTGATGGATTTTCTTATGGTAATTTTTATATATTATTATTATTCTAGTCCTAATTACTGAGAAGAAGGCACATACACAGTATGTGCCTGATGCCCGTGCTTAGTTCATCTTTTTCAAGTGCAGGAAAAGAATAGAAAATGCTAACACCTCTTAACACCTGCTGAGTTCCCTTTTGTTATCATAGTCCAGGTAATGTTTGTTGTGAGTCATCCTACTCCCGATCCCTCCTCTTTTACCGCTTAGCAAATCTAATTCCTACTTCTACACATGGCAAAATGGGGTGAGAAGCCATTAACTAGTATGAAAGTCAATTATCTCACTTTTCCCCTCATCTTTGTTTTCTTGCCTCAGACTGGAAGGCTCTTTCCCTGTTTCAGTGGAGAGAGGCAATCTGTGAGTAGATGGCTTCAAGTGAGTGGACTTACATTGGACTGTTGGTGTTACCCTATGATTAAGGAGACTTACGAGTGGCAAGTGTTTAGTGTATTACAGGCCGGTTTATGTAGATTGATTATGAGTTCCTTTTATTTGTAATCTGCATCATATATTTTGTTGAGTTTAGATATAATTGAATGCTTTATAAACTTATTCTTTATTGTCATGCGTTATTGTTCTATACTTTGCAGTCATGGAAATACTCGAGTCTCCTGTAACAAATTTTATTGTTGCTTAAATTCTGAGTTTCATGATTTTTTTGAAGCTACTTTTTGATATTGAATTCTTCAGATGATTTCTTGCTTTGCAGGTTGCTAGTTGTTTGTAGATCTGGTTAAACTATGCTCTATTCTGACTTGTGAGTTTGCAAGTGATTGTTATGGGGCAGAGACATTTATATAGCATATCTCAGATGTTTGGAAGCGAGCAGGAGCAGAATTGGAATTATATGCATGCTGATCAAGATTATGTGCAACCAGGTAACATAACTCTACATTGTATTTTAATCTTTATGTCTCAATGATATATTGTTCTTTATTAAAAAGAAAAAAACTTTACATGCTTCAGTTGCACTTTTATGTTGGCTCATGACTAATTTTTACAGTAATTGTTGTCTTTTTTGCATAAATACTAGATTGCTTATACTGGTCCTGTATTGCAGGTAGGGCTAGCACTTCACAGAATGGTTCTTTCATTTATCCAGTAGAAAATATGTCTATAGATGGCAGCTCCCTGGCTGCTCCTTGGAACAATGCTACAATGTCAAATGGATATGCATCCCCTAGTATCAACACTGAATTACCCCCTCATCAATCAGATGCATCAAGATCTTCTCATGATCATTTTCCGCGTTCATCAAATCCTGGAGCCTTTTTTGCAGTTTCTGAAAACTATGCTCACCAGCCTTCTTCCAGTTATGATAGACAAGAATTTCATGTTGCCGATGGTGGTTTCTTTGATTTTACCATGGGAAGTGGAAGAGGGCCTCACAAGCGAAAGAGCCCTGGAATTCCTTCACTTTGTGAGAGAGGCAGCACAAGCAGATATTTCAGTGCAGGCAGCTCAACTGATCTTCCTATGTCTTCGGAAATAAGACAGGAGAAGCAAAGCTTGGATTCTCAATACCTGCCTTGGGATCATGTTACTGTGACTCCCCCCATCAGAGGCAATGGCCTTTCAATCAGGGGTGAGGGTTCTTTAAGGAATGTTAGGTGTCGTTCTGCACTTGATTTGGAATCTAACCTTGCTAGGACACATTTATCTAGCAACCATTTGCACAACTTCTCTTCTGGCCAGCCCACTGACCATTCTAGTGCAGTGAATCTTCCTGGTCATAGTTCTAGTGCTATGACAAGGGACTGGAGCCAAATGAACATTTCTCCTGCTCATGGGAGCGTATTATTATCTGGTTAGTTTATAGTTTTAGTTTTTAGATTCCTAATTTCCTTTGCATTTTATCTTAGATTAGAGATGTCGTCTGACATTGCAGAATCAAGTGGATATAATCGTGAGAAAAGTCGCATGCTAGTTGGAAATGGTGTTGGCAATTCTTCAGTGGATGCTGGGAGTTACCATCATGAATATAATACGAGCATAAATCCTACTGTTTCCCAAAGTTTTCACAGTAACCTCACTCACGCTGCTAGGGGAGTTCGAAGTAACTATTCCCAAAGATCTACTCCAACACCTACTCCAACTCCAACTTTTAGGGCCTCTTCAAGCTCATGCGTGGGACAAATGGTGCCTTCAGAAGGTGGGTTGCACATGGGAGCTGAAGGTTTTATGTCTAGACATCCAAGGCCATTGACTGCCATCAGTTGGCGGAACAGTGATAGAAATGGGAGGTCAAGGATATCTAGTGAGAGATATCGATCATTGGTTGATGAGGCTATTCTTCATGATAGATTTTCTTCTGAGGTATTTCTTGGTATCTTCGCGAACTGGGTTTTCATGTCAGAAAGAATAGGAAACATTTTCAGTTTTAGAAATACCCATTGTCTTGTCTTCGACTGGCACTATTTTGGTTGACCCGAAGTAATGGTGTTCGGTGCTATAGCAACTTTCCCTCTCTATATATGTAAATAAGCAGGACTATTATGTCTCTTTCCCCTTTTAGCAGGCTGAAATTTGGTTTTGGATTGCAGGGTTTTATGGTTGTTGATCGTGCCCCACCGTATGGTTCCAGAAATATGATTGATCAGCATAGAGATATGAGGATGGACATAGACAATATGAGTTATGAGGTGATTAAGTTTGTTTTGATCGTAAATAACTTCCTTGTGATACCATTGTTATCAAATGCATGCATTTTATAATATTTTTGGATGGTTGGCTTGACCAGGAACTACTTGCTCTTGGAGAGAGGATTGGTCATGTCAGCACGGGATTGTCTGGGAACTTGATTTCGAATTGTTTGACAGAATCAATATATTGCTCATCTGAGCAAAGCCAAGAGGAAGGAAGTTGTGTAATCTGCCTGGTATGTTTACCTTTTTCCCTTTAGAACAAATCATTATCAACCCTAAACTTCGGGAAATGAAAGACAACTTCTTTGGATTTCGCAAATCTGCGAGTAATGTATAAGGACAACCGCATCTGATTATTGAATGACCACTAGTCGTAAATGTAGTTGTTCCTTTTTTTGGGTGCCATCGTCCTATTAGAATACATACAGTTGGACTTCGTTTAAATTCTTGATGTGGATCATGCAGCTGGGCCAAGTTTATTTTTGTTTAGTAGAGTTATGAGATCGTGTTAAAAATCAAAATCACCACATTCTTTTGTTTCATTCTTCGTTATTCTCTAACTGCAATTTTGATGCTTTTGAATTGTACTAAGCGAGTGGTGTTGTTCCTGATTTAAAACATTATAGGAAGAGTACAAGTACATGGACGATGTTGGGACACTGAGAAGTTGCGGCCACGACTATCACGTGAGCTGCATTAGGAAGTGGTTATCTATGAAGAACCTATGTCCTATCTGCAAATCTTCTGCTCTTCCTGATGCTATGAAGGATAAATAACTTTAAATTCATTCTGCACTATTTCACTATCTCATTTTGTATATATATGGTATACATTTGAATATTCATGAAAGTGAAGGAAACTGGCTTCTTCTTCTTCTTCTTCCTTTGAGGTGTTGTATATTGTACATTTGTAATAGCAATGCTACTAAGAGTCAATGGATTTGTTTATGGCTTCAGTGTAATTACGTGAAGCCTTGGAATTATGTGTGCTTGCTTGCATTTAGAAATTCGGTCAGTTAATCGCAAAGAATCATGGTTCGGTTGAGGGATGTGACGGTATCCACGCGTGTTTAGGTCTTCAAGGGATTTTTCGTTCGCAGTTAGTTTCATACTTGGGCAAAAGATCCAGCGCTCACCTCCAAACGGCTCCAAAAAAGAACTACTGTGGTCAGCAATAGCATGAGAATCTCGAACAAACTTGAGTTATGAATTCCGTTCCAAATTGGAAGATACGTTAAAAAGATTTGATATTTTAAAATATAAAATATTTTAATAAAAATATAATTTCATGAATGATATTTTTTAATATTATTTTTTTTTATTATCTTCTTTTTTAATGATCTTTTACAAATGGAGTGTATGAATGGCACTTGATAGTTTATATTTTTATTTTTTTAAAAAAATATAATTGTAAAATGTATTTAATAAATTTTACTACCGTATGTATTCAAAAGTTTTTATAAATAAAAATGGAGAGATTACATCTTTAATTGAAAAACCACTCTTTCAATTAAAGGAGCAAAATTACCAGCTTAAAAGGACTTTAAAGAAATTATTTTAAGAATAAAATTAATATTTAAATTTTATTTTTTTAAAAAATTATAAATGTAATTTTTATCCCAATTTCTCTTGTTTAGATGTGATTGAGGCAATTGGCAATTTAATTTCCACCACAATACAACAGCCACGTGCAATGCCAGGCTGCTGTTTGAGGCGTTCTGTGAATCTGTGGAATATTTAGAGGCCCATTCATACATAAAGCCCACATATCTATCTTAGATGGACACCTTTTCTCGTTGGATTTTAGAATTGCATGTCATTGGGTCAGTCATATTCGGAAGATAGGCCCATAATACTGCAGCTGCAACTTTCGTTGCCGCCGGAAACGGCGTGAATCTTCTAGGCCCTAAACCCTAATGCCCAAATTAGTCTTTCCACCTTCACCGTCTTAACTTCGGTCTTTCTGGAATTTTGTGAGGTCGGCCATGTTTTCCTGTATAAAATTCTCTATCCCTTGCCCAATTTTCTGCCACTGAAAGCAAATTTTGCTCAATTCATTTCCTCTCTTCTGGATTAGATTATTGTTAATTTGTCTGGGTAAATATGCAGATTTTCGTGAAAACCCTAACTGGGAAGACCATCACCTTGGAGGTGGAGAGCTCCGACACCATTGATAATGTCAAAGCCAAGATACAGGACAAGGAAGGGATTCCCCCTGACCAGCAGAGGCTCATCTTTGCCGGAAAGCAGCTCGAGGACGGTCGCACACTCGCCGATTACAATATCCAGAAGGAGTCCACCCTTCACCTGGTTCTCCGCCTGAGGGGAGGCATGCAAATCTTCGTCAAAACCCTTACCGGCAAGACCATCACCCTCGAAGTAGAAAGCTCCGACACTATCGATAACGTCAAAGCTAAGATACAGGACAAGGAAGGTATCCCTCCGGATCAACAGCGTTTGATCTTCGCCGGTAAGCAGTTGGAGGACGGCCGGACTCTTGCCGATTATAACATCCAGAAGGAATCCACTCTTCATCTGGTGCTTCGACTCCGTGGAGGTATGCAGATATTTGTCAAGACCCTGACGGGCAAGACTATCACTTTGGAGGTAGAGAGCTCGGACACCATAGATAATGTCAAGGCAAAGATTCAGGAAAAGGAGGGAATTCCACCTGACCAACAACGTCTCATCTTCGCTGGGAAACAACTTGAGGAAGGACGAACTCTCGCTGATTATAACATTCAGAAGGAATCTACCCTTCACCTTGTCCTCAGGCTGCGCGGTGGGCATATGGAATGAATATCTTGGATGATGGTGCATACTGCATACTACTTGTTTATGTTGTTTCTGCGGAATTAGTATGATAATGTTGTCTTTTTTGTTCTTTGTTTTAGATGTTGTGAAAAGGCCATAGCCTAAGATCTATGAATATGATATTCTATCATATATATATAATGATTTGATATTATGAAATATGGCTATTCTGGAATCTGGATGGTAATTCAATGTGGAGATTACAAGTTACGTTTGAGAGACGCAAGCGTAATTTTTTCTGTGCACTGTTGGGTCTGTTTTGTAAAATTCTGAACCGTTTAAAGTTGATTGGTGATTTGGTAAACCTGGTATAATAATACTACTCAATACTCAATTCAATGACGTGCTTCACGCTTCGACGCCATTGCCTGGTTTATAATGATCGGTGAACTTACTTGGATTTGACGGTTTGTTTTTCTTCAATAATGACTTAATGAGATTGCGCGCAAGTGAAGATCTTCTTTTTAGCTACAAAAGCCATTGTCTTGTGCCAAGTCGCTACTTGGTAGGGTTCCAGTTTTACCAGTTTTACTATCTGGCATTTATGAAGATTGCATTCCTGTTTTTTCCTGGTGGTGGTGCGGTAAATGCTTAAGAATTCACAGTTGACGACAATGTCCCCGCCACATTTTGTCGCTTCAGATGGCTGAAGACAGGTTCAAGCGGCTGAGCAGACAAAAAATGCCAAAACTGGGGCATTCCGAGAATTGAACTCGGGACCTCTCGCACCCTAAGCGAGAATCATACCACTAGACCAAATGCCCTTTCGTTTCTTGTGGGACTTAACCTTGTTCATTTTTTTATTTAATGGATTGGTCTGCCAATGGACAGGAAACATCCATATCTTTGTCACCATGTCGGCATTAAAATGAAAACGTTATCGTGCGTGGAGAGGGCACAAGAATTGATGGGTTTCATTTGATTTTTTTTTTCTTTTTGGCCTTGCATTCCATTTCCTTGAATCTTCCCCAATTATATTGTGTTTTCTTATTATAAGCTGAGGAAATCTGCAATCAAGTTATTTGCTTCTACGAAGAAACCAGTTTTTTTTTTTTTTTTTCAAATTCACTACTGCTCACTAGAAGCTTGATCTGCGGAACTACATTGAAGAGTCACTTGGATGGTGATTTCGATGTGTTAGACCAATAGCCTTTTTCAAAAAACGACAAGCATAGTACTCGAGTTCAATTTGATCACTTTGAGCTATCTTTTTCCTTTCACAACTCGCAATGTGAGTGATGAGTTCCGGTTGTTACCCTTGACTCTTGATTGGTATACAGTGCATATACACTGGCACAGGCTGCGTCATACAATTGGTGAATGGCTGAAGCGCTCGCATTTATTTTTTGGACTCATAGGTCAGGATGAAACCCAAGAGATAATTTGAGGTTAAAAGCTCCAGAACAAGAAAGTTCTTGCGGGAATCTTGTCTTACTCCTTGTTAGGTGAGAACTCTCGGGTCATCGTTTATATGGAACAAATGTTTGCTTTTCTAACATTTCGCTGCATATTTTCCTCTCAAGCCCAGGAATCAAGATTCCCATCGGAGCCAAAAGAGTGGCAAAGACAACAGGAGCCTTAAGTGTCGGCTTTGTCCAGGTTAGTAAGCATATGAGTCCAAATCCACCAGCCCATCTCTCATCCGATTCAGCTGCCGCCAAATCTGATTTTGCCGCTACGACAACTGTTATATTTCTTACGTGCGCGAACATCCACATATGGATCCAATCACGTTATACTGTCTTTCCTTAATTAGATTTTAAACTTGTCTTGTGCTAAAATTTTTAGAATATTTGTTCGGGTAGTTCCAAATCCCAGATATTGCTGAGAATTGTCCGCTCTTTACTTGCATGTGAGGGATTGACCCGACCTTGAGAGACCTAGCCAGCTCTTTTCTTGGCTCAGCGTAGTTGGATTTATCTTGGATTCTATATGCCACATGCGGTTTGGTTGATCTGGCAAGAGTAGCATGGGTAGAAGCGTCATTTCATCCATACAACATGTGGAGCTTAAGATCCACGTCCCATGTCCACGGGTGATCACATCCTTCCTTCTTTGTCTAAGACGGTGTCCCACCCACTTGTGCACAGTTCATTTGTTGTCACTTGCTTCCTTCTCATTTCAGTCCCCACCATGTTAGCCCTCTTTGTTATAACAATCAAGTGTTCAGCGTAAGCCTTCGATACCCCCAAAATCAATCTCTCTCTCTCTCTCTCTCAATGGCACATAATAACCACTATCTCTGCGTTATAGAAGCAATGGAACGTCTTTGGTTTCACCACATCGTTCTCTCCTCGCAAGAAACCATTGTCGAATCACTTTCGTCCGCATCACAATTTCTCTCTCTCCCATTGTCCTCTGATTCCATTCTTTCTTTGCCTCCTCCGCCAGATGACGAAGGTTCCACAGAGGAATCCCTCAACAAACATATCTCATCAGATTCAATTTCAGCATCTCTGCAGGTATACTCCAATTTTAGCGCCTTTTACGGTTTAGATATGCTCTCTTCGTTATGGGACTGACCCATGACCGTGCTTCTTTTGTTCTTCGGTTAACATTCTTAATGTCAAAAGGATGATTCAAGTGACGAAGAAGAAAAGGGAGAAAGCTCCACTAGATTAATGAGCGTTTCGGGTAACAGAGTTCGGTCACATTCATCGTCGCCATACATACAAAAGCGTGGTGGAAAATTAAGGAAACAAGCCAAAAGGAGGCTGCAGAAGTCCACGAGCTGCAAGACACTGGGGGAACTAGAAATCGAAGAAGTGAAGGGTTTTATGGATCTGGGTTTCGTATTCAAGAAAGAGAATATAAGTTCGCGAATGATGAGCGTTGTCCCCGGCTTGCAGAGACTTGGTATTTGCCCAAATGAACAGAGCGCACAAATGATGGATGCCTCAGAAACAGGGGAAGCTGATACTATGAAACCAGTGGAAAAGAAGAAAGACGTCAAGAGGCCATACCTATCGGAGGCCTGGCTGATAAAGAGGCCGGACTCACCTCTTCTAAATCTGAAGATTTCCAAGCTCCGTTCAACTGCTGATATGAAAAAACTTCTTCGATTCTGGGCCCAAAGCGTGGCCTCAGAAATCCACCATGAATGAATTCTATTCTTTGTGTCTGTGTGTCTATGTATATAAGCAGAACTGCAGCCGCTGCGTATGGAGAAAGAATTATGACCTGCCATCATCATTGAACGAGAAGTCTTCGTCTCTGTAAAAAAATAAGTGTATGACAATCAAAGTTGCGAGAGCAATAAAGGGGGTAGGGGTAGGAATTAAATAGGAGTGTTATTGGCGGGATTCAATAAGAAGGAGAGCGAGAGAAATTAAACCAGCGGGTTGGGATAATGGATGAATCAGGATTGAAGTGGGAAAGGGATAAGAGGGATGAGGGTAATAGAGTGGGCCATCGACAACACACAAGCAGGTATTATTGAATCATGGGACAGTTCCATCCTCTGCTTGTCTGGTTGTATGATTGCGTATCATGACTCATTCCTTGTGATTCATGAGTTTGGTTTATTTGTTGGCAATTGTAATAACAATGATTTTGTACCCACTTCCCTCTTTGTCCCGTCTCTACTTCGTCTCTCTCCCATCCTTATAATGTTACTGAAAAATTTGATTAATATAATTGATTTTAAATATAATTAATTATGTTGTGGGTATAATTAATTTGTAAAATTGGTTAATGAAATTGAGTTTAAGTAAATTGAAATTTAGTTAAAGGGAATAATTTTAATAAGGATTCTTTGATCATAGTTATTTAAATTCAAAACATCTAAACTTATGAAATTTGACTGTAATTTAAGAATATTAATTTGATATTAAAATTTTGAGAAAAATAATATATTGCCTTTTATTTAAATTAATATCAAAACTATCTCATTTTACTTGTTAATTACCAACTCTCTTGTACATTTTCTTGAAATAAAATTAAATAAAAATTTGACAATAAATAAGTGAAGTAGTATAATGAATGACAATTCATGAATAAAATGAGCAACATATAATATAAGTATTAACAAATTATTTTAAGATGATTTGAACACCTGAAAATAAAAACATGTTAAGTAGGGCAATTAACAACATGACGTAAGTAAGTTAACAAATAAAGCAAGATAATGAAAAAGTAAAGTGGGACATTTTTTATATTAATTTAAATGAAGAATAATTTTATCATTTTTTTATAAATTTAATATTAAATTAATATCATTATATTGCAATATAATTCTAAAAATTTAGAGGTTTTAAATTTAAATAAATGTAGTTAAGGGATTTTTATTGAAATTCTTCCTAAGTAAAATCATAGTTTTATAAAAATATATCTAGACTCCCAATTATATGTCAAAAACTATCATAAACTCCAATTCATAGTTTTCTTAAAACTATCTAGATATGTATTATTTATGACAAAATTAATTATGAATAAAAAAATTATAATTTTCTTAAAAATATCCAAATACTCTTATACATGTTAAAATTAACTATGAATCCTAAACCATCGTTATCTCTTAGTATATTATTACTTGTTTTTCAATTAAGCCTTTTTCCTTAAAAATTTATTCAAAAACCATATAAGCTCTATTTTATAGATCTTAATTTCAAGTTCATGATTAATTTTAACATGCACAAAGGTATTTGCATATTTTTTTAAATCGTGTTTTAGGTTTTAATTGACCTTGACATGTATAGTAGATATTTATATATTTTTAAGAAAATAGGATGGATTTGAGTTTATACTTGATCTTATCATATAATAAGGATATTTACCTATATTTTCATAAAATCATGATTTTGACTCCCAAAAATTAATTATATCATCTATCCAAACATGATTTTCATCTAGCCCACCCCACCACCGCAAGCCATACTAAATTTTATTAATTAAATCTTAAAACTAATAAAACATAGAAAACTAGAGAGTCATGAATATTATATAGAATTTAAGAAATGAGTCATGCCAACAGGCATTGATTCTAATGAAAGGGAACATCGCCACTCTTGTCTACAGTAATTTATATATAGAGTAAAATACAATTATTTAAGTTTGTCAAAATTACGAAAACCTCATATTTATCTTATAAACTTACACTTTAGTCCATTTTTTAATACTATTAGGAATGTTCAATTTAAAATTCTAAAATGCTTTATTTTATTAATTAAAATCTGCAAAAAAAAATTAAAATTACTAATCTGCCCTCATAATCTAATGTATTATCTCTCCTCTAGTTTTAAAGAACACAGATATTAAAATTAATAAAATAAATTAAATTAAAATTAATAAAATGAATATTAATTATATTAACTAATCTATCTATTCTTATATTAAATTCTTAACTCTTTTTTTGCTAAGAAATTTTCTAACTGGTTAAATTTTTATTCATATATGCCTGAAATATTATTTTTGTCATATATATTTAAAATTCAAAAAATATTTTATAGATAACTCTTAAACTCATATACTATATAAATAAGTTCATCTATATTTAATTTTATTTTTTCAACTTATAATTATTATTTGAAAACTAAAATATGAATATTAAACAACATTTATGTTAAAGAGGGGTATCTTAGTTCAAAATATATGATTTAAAGGTTAATTAACGGTTTCATGGATAAAAATAAAATATTTAAAATAAATATAAAGCACGTGTTATATAAATTTTGATTTCAAGAGAGGTTTATATAGGTTTTAAAAATAAAAAAGAGGTCTTTATAATTTATATATTTATATATTTATATATATTTTATGACATATTATAATTTTAATATTATATTATAAAAATACACATTTAAGTGGGGAAAAAAAATTGTCAGACTCAGAGGTCCACCCATAACACTGACTGGGCCGAGCTCAAAATCTGGACCCCATTCAATTGCTTCATTCATTCATATTCCATAATATACCCTGTGCTTCCCAGCGTTCCTAAATATATTTTATTATTATTATTTTTTTGTTATGTTTTGGATACTAATCCCATTTTTATCAAACTACGCACAATACTACTGTCCTGTGTTTGACGGGATATGTTCAATTCAGTTGCTTTTTCTTTTGGGGGGGGGGGGGGGAGCATTGAGGATTGGTTTTCAATAATTGCTAGCTGCTAATTTCAATTTTATAATACATTGATAAGATAAGAACGACTCAGCACAATTATTAGTTATTTTTTATTAACATGCTTCGTTTGAAAGACGCGTGAGGGACACTTCTTACAGAAAGAAAACTACGAAATCGATGAGCTAACTTTCCAAGGCCGTGGCATAACGCTCTCATGATTTTTATCTGAAATCCATTTTTACATATTTCGCTGTTGATTGGTTTGGGGGGTATGAGAGAAACGTTGAATTTTCCTGAAATAAAATCCAACCACGCCTGGCTTTATTATAAGCCACGATTTTTAAAGAAGTCGGAGTCCCAACTCATCTCTTGAGAAAATGACATCCAGGTTCCCAAAGCTTCAATTTATTAACAAGATCTCAACAAATTTTGTAGAAAAATAAAACTGATCGAGATATATAGTTTTAAATATGAAAGTGAGTCTTAATTACAAATAATTGAAATAGATTTATAAGATTCAAATGCCTGATTTTATAATTAAGATTCTTAGGGCCTGTTTGATTTTTATTTTTAAAAATTATTTTATAATACATTTTTTAAAATTATTTTTAAAATAAAATAAAATGAAAATTCATTTGATTGTGTCAATTTAAAAATAATTTTAAAATTAAAAATAAATTGATGATGATGATTGTAAGCAATTAGTAGTGGTGATTAATAATAAAAATTTGTTAAAGTGACTACAATTTTTAATAATCAAATATATTGTATTTTAAAAATGAGAAAAATAAAAAGAAAACAACTTAAAGATGTTTCTTTATTTTTAAAAATAAAAAATAAAAACAATTTTACAAACAAATAAATAAAGAAACACTTATTTAAATAAATTTTTAAATTTTTCTGTTGAAAAGAAAAAAACAGTTTTTGAAAACAGAAAACAAACAACCCTTGTATTTGCACACGTCTTTAAATTATCAGTTGCAACCTCATCTCTGTGTCTCATCCAGGTAAATTGCATAGTCTCGATCACTCCTTCTTAAATTATACATGTGGCTCCCCCTGTCCTTATCGTTGTCTTTGGCATTGCGGCTGTCAAATGATCAATTTGTTTTCGTTTGAACTTACAGAAGCAAGTTTCTTATATAAGTTGGCATTATATATATATATATATATATATATTTTGGACCTGAGCATCATGATTAAATACAATCATTCATAAGTGTCATTCACTGCGTACGAAAGCTGGTGGAGGGTGACAATGATATAGAACGCCACTGTCATTCTTAACATAAATGCCCAAGATTACATAGAAAAACACATAGTTTAGGCGAAAGTTGAGTTCATTCAATCATCACATGTGTGGCCTTTGCGAGGGGGAGACATGGTTATTGAGACTGGGGCCATATCATTTTCCATTATATGGCGAAGGCGTGCACGGTTGAATTAATTGGTGAATTGTGTTGTGTGTTGTGTGCGACCTATCGAGCCCGGGAAAGCGACCGAGCGCGTGGATGAGTGGGGTAAGTTGCACGAAGCTCACTGTGTGATGGCGTATTTAGTACTCTTTCCACACGCGTTGGTTTTCCCTGCTCATCACAATATTAAGCACTGTTGTGTTTATTATTATCATAAAATTTAGATCATTCAAATTTTAATCGAAGACTAACCCCACGCACCACAGCAATGAGCAATAGACTTAATACTCATTTCCCTCCCTAAATTATTATTATTATTATCGTAGAAACATCTAGTATACTTAACTCAATTTCGATTCATTCTCATCCTCAAGTGTTTGAAACTGAATTCTTTTTACCCCGATAGTTAACTCGGGTTAAGTTGATTGTTAAATGCTAATGTAGACCAAATTATTTGACTTTTTATGTCACTTGTCATGTCATGCGGCAAATTGAGTCTTTTGTTTTTTTTTTTTTTTTGGGGGGGGTTCTCTTCTCCTTTGTCAATATTGCATAAAGTTTCAGACCAACTACCCAGGCCTTGAAGGTCATCCGCAATGTCATCTTCTCAGGTCCAAAATTCAAAACCAGTAATATCCATCAAACCCAACAAAAGCACATAGAGACAAGTCCGCATTTAACTGCGTGCGGAAGTAAAAAAAAAAAAACACGTGGCAGCATCTAATTTAAGATCCAGATGCAAAATTAAATAAAATCTTATCAACTCACACAAGGTAAGATGTAAATTGAAAGCCAAATGAGCACCAAAAGTTTATAAACAAATCCCTCTTAGACTTCTCAGATAATCCAAGTTTAAATGTGGAGCCTAGCAAGCAATTTGAGAGCATAAACCAAGGTCTTGACATTTAGATTCAAAATTAAAAAGTCATCATGGAGCTTTTTGAGAGATTTTTCTAGATTCTCTTATTCTACTACTTTATGATTTTGATTCTTTGTATTGTTTATAAACTTTTATACATATTTAAAGCATAAATGACTAGTTTTCTTTTATCCTTAGAAATTTTATGAAACTTTATACTTTGG